AAAATTAGATCCTTCATTTGCATTTTAAAAAAAAGGTTGCTTGGGATTACCAGCTTGTCGTTTATTTGCTCAAACTTTCATCGGCTTAGAAGCATAAGCACCGCAGGGTAAAAAGGAGAAAACATTAATACAGGTGAGTTAGGATAAGTAGATCGAAAAAGCTGAAACAGTTAACTTTTTTTGTAGATTGCATTGTTTCTAACTTCCATTACGTTTGGTTAATCATGTGAATTATATAGCTTTTAAAATTCACCTACTTCGGTTTCTCTAGAGTCGCTTATTTTAACTGCATGAGTGCCGCCACAATAAAGTTCTCTGATAAATATAGTCATTCAGGAAACTTTGGTCGTTCAGTGAGGCAAAGGGAGTGAATTTGTAGTTTAGTTGAAAGTTCTTCGTGGTCTTGATGTTTGCAGTGGACTCTACTGATTCTTCCAAGAAAGATACCGTAGCGAATACTTATATGATGAATTCCGTCTCCGTGGGGTGGCTATTGCCCAAACTACATAGTAACCAGATAATGAGTGGTGTAATGTATTTCTTTTCAGAATCTCTTCGTGAAACCAAGAAGCAGCCCGTCAGGGACTGTGACAGCAATAAATATAAGAAAAAAACCCAATTGATCTCAATAAATAACTCTCAAAGGTGTATAAACGTAATTTTACCAAAGCATGAAGGGCCAGTTTTATGGAATTTGGTGACTACAGCATTCTACAGTAGAGTGACGAATGTCGTAAAGCAAGTGGATTATTTCATTAAGTCATGAATATTACCAACACCTCGTCAACCTCCAATCCAGTTTTCATTCCACCAGAGGTGAAGACAGCTCTTTACTCGAGTATTTTTGTCCTTGGGTTGTTTGGGAACTCTTTCGTTATTACAGTTTTGGCCAGAAAAAGGTCTTCTCGCACCTGCCATGACATCTTCATCTGCAATCTTGCAATATCTGATCTAATTCTTCTCCTGACATATTTTCCTATGTTTTTTGCCCATGCTGTAGGAAACTTTAAAGCACCGAGAGTATTTTGCAAGCTGATATGGCCATTGATCACAATTTCGTATCTCTCCAGCATCTTAATCATCACATCTATGGCTATTCATCGCTCCAGGATGATTGTTAATCCTTACACTTCCGAAATAAGTCGAAGAAATGTCTACATCTGGATTTTCTGTTTGTGGATCATGTCGTTTGTTTGTATTCTGCCTGGAATGGTTTTTGCTGAGGTCAATCGAATGGGAATGTGCCACGTAGCTTGGCCTTCAGTGGAAGCTCACGTAGTATTTCGATTTTTCATGTTAATGGTTCAGTATCTCTTGCCATTGACAATAACAGCAGTCGCCTACATACGCATTGGGCTGGCCATAAATAGATCTAAATTTCACCGTAAGTTTTCAAAGCAGCCCAAAGCCCTGAGCCAGACGCGACGGCGAGAAAACGCACAGGTTGTGCGGACCATAGCAACAATTGTGATAATATTCGCTATTTGTATGTTTCCGAAACATCTGGCCTCTATCTACTATTACTTCGGAGAAAATGGCAAGGAAAAGGGAAAAATCCTCTTCAGGCTTCTCCATATTTCCGAGATTTTCGCTGTTTTTCACAGTTGTTTAAATCCGCTTGTTTACGGCACAGTCATGAAGCATTTTCGCGCTGAGTACTTTAAATACCTTCAAGGTATCTTCTGTTATTGCTGGAAAACACGTGCAGAAAGAATGTCCAATCCAGGAGATCAAATGACTTCCTTAAATGACCCGCGGTCCTCCAGTAAAATGACTGCTTCGTCAGAGTAGGTCATGAACACATAAAACACCGGCAAAAGGGCTTCGGACTTCTTCATAATTCGGGTTGGAAGATGTTCATCAAACTGACATGGGCTTTTCGCTGTTCCGCGAGCTTACCGCACATTGATCTATAGAAGCTCAAGTCACGCTGTAGCTGTTTAATGGTTTGGATCTGGCTAAGTTATTTGTGGAAAGTCCGTTGAATCAAAAAAGTACACTCTTGGTTAACAGAATAAGCCGTTCTTTTATTATATGCAAATTTCATAATACTGAGATGTATTCCAGCAAATTTTTAATTTTCCCCGAAGCTCAACATGTATAATCAAGCCTATCGAACCTTTTTTGGAAGGAGAGAATAAATTAGTCGATAACTACATGAAACAATTATCGTTTGTAACCAAAGAAAGCACAGTCGAACGTTAAAAGGCAACGAACTTTTATATTAAAAAATACGAAAAAAATCACGAGTCGGTCACTCCAGACTAAACGAAAAAAATTTGAAGGGGATACGAAAAGACAACAACATGGGAACAAAAATATGATGATAATCATGATACCATGATAATCTCTTGCCTCTCATTAGGTGGTGTCTTTCAATCGATCTAAGTATTATGATAGCAGTTCGATAGTTTTTCGATACGGTTAATTATTCGTATTAGGAAACATCTAATAAAAGGTAAACTTAAATAAGGTCAGTAGTGCTTAATATAATGACGAACCTTTAGATTGAAAATACTGCTGTAGATATCTCAGGACTATTACCACAATATAGTTTGAGATTGGTATTTGCACAGGAACACCAGGGAGATCATGAAAATTGTAACTGTCAAGATCAGTAGCACAGTACATATGAACAATAGCGTAACATGCAAGAAAAATACAAAATATTTATAAAGGAATCAAAAACCTCTTGAAACTCTTTATTTAGAGAATATATTACAGTTCTTTCACTTATTGCTTTATTTTGGGACATTTCGGTTAATTTCCAGCAATTTCTCTATTACCCATGATGCATTGCGACCCCACCCATTTTCATTTTCATGATCTCTTTCATGTGTACCAGGCTTGTTACATAACAAAAAGCTTCTAGAAGCTTCTAGGGTGGTTTCAAAGCTGTTGTTTTTCCTTCGATTGCACGTAGCCGAGTGAAATGGCGGTCGAAGTGGTCGAGAGTTTTCGAAGTGACGCGCGGCTGTTTTCGCTTTCTTTCGTCAATGTAACCTGAACCCTGAACGAAATGTTTCAAAACGTTTGGGATTTAGAAAAACGCTTCTTGCTCCCTCAATTTGTTATATTTTCTCGTGAAAATGAGCAGTTAGCTTCGTTATGAGATGAGAATGACACGGCAGGAAATTAACATGTTTGGTCCAACGCCGGCGGTACTGCGGATGGCTTACATTTGGCATTGCATCCTTTATTTACGGAAAGACGCGGTATGTTTCATAGTGTTTGGGAATCAAAAATTTGCTTCATTCTCAAGATTGAAATACGCAAAGTCGCCAAAACTTTCTGGACTGGCTCTCTAGAAGATGAGAATTCCATTGTAACAAGCTTTTTACTATCACGGCGTTCTATGCCGCCGAGGGAAATACGTTTCTCCTGATTTCATGGACTGAAACATGGAGCGTGATGCTTGTACACTTGAACAAAAAGTGCTATTTTTCTCTAAGGTTAGTCTGTCTTTCAAATTGGTACATATACATCTGAAATCTCTGATTTATTGTGATATTTTAGGTGATTTTTTCCGTTGATATCTTCTGCGAGAAACACAAGAAATTTTAAGATAATGATAATTTTGTGTATGGGAATGTTACGCGTGACGCCCTAAATTATGCATATTTTTGGAAAAATTAAATTTGTAAAAAAATGAGAATTCAATAAAAATCCATGATATTATGCAAAGTTGTAGAGTATTATGTCTTTTTTATTTGTGCCAAGTCTCGGCATTGTAGCTGGAAAAGTACGAGAGATATTTTTGTTTATGTTTGCTTCTCTGTGTTTGTACACGTGAACTGTGCTACTGATCCAATGAGGAAACATCATGAGAATACTTTAGAGCTTATTATGGGGATCAGGTAAATTATAATGTGACCCAACCAAAATCCTCTGACCCTCTGTAGACGACAGATAATGACGGACCCCTTATGCATGCAGGTGTACTAAGTCTGATGGAGATGCTCCTTTCTTCCTAGGTCTAATTATAATCCATAACTTTAACCAATATACCTCTGAATTTCCTCATGAAGAGGACCTTCTAACTTTGTTTATTGTCATCAATACGCATTGAATCGTTAACGGATCGAAAAAAAAAAAAAAAAAAAAAAGGAGAGAGAGAGAACAGACTCGCGATCCATGCTTTAAAACCTGTGCCTTGCACTTTGTCAAACGAAATCACTGCGATTCCTTGTGTTCTGAACCAATGCAATCTTCTGTGAAGTTGGGGTAGTGGCTTGTTGCAAAGCCACTTTGCGTAACAGGTTCCCGATGATATTCGCCTGTTCTTTTGAAGCCTAAATTCCCCTCCTGTGCACTTGACAAGTATATCGCACAAATGATTTGCGTGAAGTAGCGTTGGCCATCCCAATGAGATATTCCTTTTACCAATTCTCACCCGATAGATCTTTTTGGCAAAAGAAAAAAAATCGCATATACTGTTTGAAAAGAGCAAACTATTGTATGTGATAGTAAACTAAGTTCACATTCTCAGTGATTTCCAAAAGCTAATCATAAAGTTTTCCTTAATTTCTGAATTTGAAGCTTGTATATCATTTCGGGTGCGTTTAGGTTGAAAGACAAACAGAAACCTAGATAGAAAGAAAACGCGTACATCCAGGTTCTCCCTAAACTCGCGCTCTCTTTGGGAACTCTTTTCTTTTTGATATTGTGGCTCGACCGACCCACCCTCATGAGAGAAAAGTTGATGGAAAAAAGAAACATTTTCGGGGATGGCCTTTAGAAATTTACAACGTCCTGGCAACTTAACACAGGTGGTCATAAGACTTTTTTTTTAAATTTACCTTCAATGCTCATTTAAGCAGAACCGTTATGAACAAACCCTTTATTAATTTTAACAGTGATGCATTTTTGTCACTTGACCTCTCTCTTTCTTAATCACCATTAATTATTATTAATTATTATTAATTTTAACAGTGATGCATTTTTGTCACTTGACCTCTCTCTTTCTTAATCACCATATCCATGAATAAACCATTGCCTCACTTCGAAACTTAACCGAACAATAGAGCGAACCAAAGATGGAGTTTTTGTATCAAATTTGTTGCTATCGTTGCTGTTCCTAGTTGTGCAATCTTTGCCAACTTTAAACAAAGAAGCTGCCAAGCTATATTATTTGCGGGATCAGTGCGGTTGATTGAGTGGGTCCTCGGTAATCCATTTCTAGTAGATCTGTGGTTTGTCCACCTCTTGTCCATGTATTGAACCTCTCGCTAGCTTGGTGCTGTTGACATGGTTTTGCTTGGAGAATTCTTTTGTAGCGACAAACGAGAGTAGATTTGAGATATTGAACGTAATCTTGGCGAAACTGGCGAGTTACTGTCCCGTAGATTAAAGGGTTCAAACAACTGTGAAATACAGCTAATAAGTCGGAAAATTTGAAAATAACTTCTGCTGTCTTCCGGCCACCATTGCCACCAAAATCGACCAGCAACCAGGCTACGTGAGTGGGAAGCATGCACACAGCAAAGGAAACAACTATGGTTGCAAGTACTTTGGCAATTTTTTTGTTTTCTTGTTTCCTCGCCTCTTCCGCAGGTCTTGGCGGGGAAGTAAAAGACCTACGCCGCTTTGAGAAAAAGAGTTCTCCCCCAATCATGACATATGCAACAGCAATGATGATTAGAGGAAGGAAGTATTGGAGCGCGGCGAGCACAGCAGTGTAACCTCGCTTGTGCTCTTTTGTAGGCCAATCTTCAAGACAGCCTCCTGAAGGTCCAACTCTAGCCACGATGATAAGTGGCAGGGCAACAAGAAAAGAAAGAACCCAAATAACCAAAAAACACAAAAAGAGCTGCCTTTTTTCAAGTACTCCCTCGAAAGGGCGAAGGATTGCTTTGCAACGATGAACTGCCATCAAGGTCACGGTAAAAATCCCTGCACAAAAGGATACAGTCATCATAGGCCAGATAATCTTGCAGTACACTAACGATCCGAGGAAATCAGACACTTGCATGTAGATAAATACTGGTAAACATAAAAGAATAAAACTTAAATCAGAAACCGCCAAATGGATGATAAAAATGTCGTTTAAAGTACGAGTGTGCTTCTTGGCGACGACGAGGAGAACCAGAAGATTTCCTGTAGAGCCAAATAAGAAAGTCAAAACAAAGATCGTTAGAGTAGCCATTCTTGCTGCTTCGTCGACTGCCGTGCCCCGTGTGTTGTTAAAAATATCCGATGAGATATTCATATTCAGGCTGGAGTTCTATTCAAAGCCTCTAGCTTTGTAGTAGTGTTCGTAAAGATTTAATTGCTGGCATATGTGATTTTATCACCTCGATATCCAAGGATCTGCGGGCAGAAACCTGAAACTTTAATCCAGTCGAACTGCGGAAGTAGCCCTAATGATTACGAACTTTGGCTGTCACAAACGACGAGCAAATTATATGGACTCGTGGCGGCAGTCGGTTTCACTTTGTATTCCTAGCAGATAATAATTGTTCGGCTTAGCTCTTATTTAAATACTTATCACCTCACAATCAGTTGAGAACAATGCTCACCGTATCACAGTAGACTCGCTCAAATCGCGGTGTAATGAAAGTTTTCAAGTAAACTGATTCTAGGCCTGATAGTAATCAAAAGGAAGTATAGGCTTTCAAAGCTTTTCGACCACTGAAATATGCAGATGTACAACTTCCATCATTATATCAGGTGAGAAAATACATAAAATCTTCGCTTTTAAAATGTTTATTATAATGTAAAATATAAAAAACAATTATCAGTTTCTTTTAGAACACAGTAATTAAATCGAACTTTTTAACCCGATCTCGCTTTGGTTTGAGTGGTCATTTCATTTTGCAGCTAAATGTGGCTGCCTACTTAACACTTAACTGGGAAATTATAGTATTTGCACTCCACGAGAAACCAACGAGACCAAAAGCACACGTATACAACAAAACCTTTAAAATTTGAAGCTACTTTGAATCACGTTTTCCCCCTTTTTTGTATTCAATTGCTTACATTGTGTGTCATCAAGTTGTTCAACAGTTTTTAAGTTTCCTTTTTTTCTGATGCTGATGCTTGCCCGTAAATTGAATTAAACAATAAAACATCGAACAAAAACAGACACAAACAAAACCTTTTTCATTGGTTGCAACTGAACTACAATGAAATGAAAATTATATTTTTCCAGTTTTAAAATATGAAACGAAATTTTTGTAGGTGTGAAATGTTTTATATTGATATGCAATGTTTGTTTTTTGAGTTTGTTTTATTTAGGCAGCAAAAAAAAATAACTATTGCATGTAAAACATGTTGACGCACGGAAATGCGGTAAAATCAAATGTAACACGGCATATGGTTACTAGCTGTTCTCTGATAACTGTAGGCACGTACGTACTATGCCTTGACCTAAAACATTGTATAAGACGTCTGTTCAACTGCTTTCCAACATAGCTTGTTCAGTCATTTCCAGAGACATGGTGCAGACAGATCTCTCCAAAAACCACCAATTTGTAACTTTCCCTGTGAACTGTGCAGGTCTAAAGCTGCTAATACATTGGTTTTCTTGAATAGTTAATTCTTGATCATTTCAAAATAAAGAATATTCGGCCAGGATATGCCCTTGAGAGATTTTGTTTTGCTCCATTTCTTTTATTGAATTATATTAAGTGGTTATCAGGCATCGAAGTGTGGGGTAATATATTTTAGAATGCTAGTAAGCACTTTATTTTGCAAGTGATAGTATCACTGAGCGTACAGGCGATCGTTGTGATTACACTATGCTTGTGCGATAACATAAGTGAAATGACGTGGGCAATTTAAACCGTCCATGTGATCGCAATTGCATCTAGAATCAGAACTGAACTCTGACCGGGACTAGAACTGACGAAGCTATCTTGAAAACAGCTAGCAAACCATCGAGGAGCAGGCACTTTAACCAGCGGTAGAGTTGTACTTGATTCTAGCGTGTATGATGACTATGGAAGGTCGCTGGTCGCTTGAATCTTTTCAGTTGTTTGAGAAAAGACTCTGCGGCTAACTGCCTTTAAACAATTCCAATGGTATGGATCCCCATATAGTGATGTGACTTATTTTGTTGCTACAGGAGTGTTGCGTCGATCGACGCGAATGCTTTGACTAAATTGTCGAAGAAGCCTAAAAGAAAAGAGTAATTGTTCAGATCAACATCCCGAAATAAAAGAAATATATCTTAACAGCAGTGGATGTGACTAAAAGTCAGATATTTTCATGTAGATCGTAATAATATTTTCATCTTTTGCTGTAACGTTTTTTATTTCCAAATAATTTACTCTGATAAATGTCAATAGATCATGAAACCACAAAAAGAAAGGTAAACATTGCGTACGCGCATGCATGAACAATATACGACTGTTTCATCGAACAGCAAATGGTGAGGCCACGCCAAAGCGTAATGTTAGAATGAGTATTTTCCTTGAAGACCATGCCATTAAATTAGAGACATAACTCATACGACTTTTTCTCGATAAAATGCCAGAATAATGATTGCATCTCTGATACCAAGCCCAGTTCACATAACAGGTGGTTATAAAAATTGATAATCAGGAATTTAGCTTTTGAAGCTTGACACGATGATCGGTGCCGCACTGTCGCTACTTTGGGCACAAAGTAGAGGTAATAAAATTGAGGTCATATTTTGTGTTTACTGACGCGCGCATGGTGCCAACGATGTCTTTGCGCTCGTCGTTTTTAAGTCGTTAGCTTTATTCAGAAGCCACAATTCACTCAATTTGATGCAAACTGGTGGCTCTGGATTTAAAATGCTCGTTAGCAAATTATAAACAAAGGTCAACAAAAACTTCTTGAAATGTTTTCAATGATGCGTTTATTTGAATTAATTACATTAGCATTACTGAATAGGTTTGGCTTTTTATGTATGCCGCTCGCGCTCTCAATACAAACACATAAGTGATGTATTACTGTTACTCCTATTTGGTTTTTCCTGGCTTTAATGCTGTATTAGAGAATTCTCAGGTAATGTTTAAAGGAAACTATGTATGATTTGTTAGTTAATAGTCAACCTATTCCATGGAGAGTGACCACTTTATATGGACAGTGAATTTGCCATAATGGCCGGCAAATGGCTGCTTCATTTTGGTCCCAGGAAAATTTTTCGTTCTTAGAATTAAAAGGTAAGTTTTTATTGCTGATAATAACCTATAAATACTATTTTTTCATCTTATGCGGGGTACTACAATTTGAATCAAGTATTTAAGTCAATAAAAGGATCTTACTTCTTTTTGTTTTTCGCATGTAAATATGCGTGGATTTTCGAGCCGACAAAAAGGTAGTAGAAAGGTTTATCTTTTTACTTAGTTCCTATTTATTTATTTTTTGAACAGGGAACAGAGCCCAATGCGTTAACAAATTCAAATATTTGCCTAATTTCGGATTAAGAAATTGCGTCTACCTTTCGCTTACTACCTCCCCTTAGGTTTTAGAGAAGTTCTAAACTTCTAGTTTAAAAGACTGATTTAGTCATTGCGACCATGTAAATTATTTAGTATTTGTGCATGAAACGGATAAAAAGCTTAAACGCTTTTGATTAAGTTAACCATTGGGGAAAACGGAGATATTAATTACAAACAGGTAGAAAGAAACGTATTCTTGTTTTAACCTGATCCTATTATTTCATCCCTTCACTTTTAAAGCGACGATTAAAGTCCGAACGCAGTCAGGATGAAGATAACACGAAAACACACGTTTATTCCAATTATTAAGATTTTTCCCGTTTTTTTTTTAAATAACGTCAACTTCTCAGTTTCTCTGTAGTATTTTGTTGATTTTTCGCAGCATGTGAAAGTTATGAAATCCAAGATGAAAATTAAAAGAGGGCGCCATCGATTGAAAGTGAAGAAGCGTTTGAAAAAGCTCAGCGCGTAAACTTTCATTAAACTGGACGGGATGAGAGTATTCCAACTGCCATTTGAATAGATAAGACTTTTCATCGTCAGAACTGTTAGCTTCCTCTCGCAAGGTACTCTTTTTTGCCGCCTTCAGCCCTTCAAAGGAACAAGTTGAGTTTGAAAACTTAACGAGTTCCTCTTTCGAGTAATTTCTTTCTTACGAATGAAACTCGTTTGGCCTGTTAAATTTCATTTATAAGAGAGAACAAGCATTTTTTAGCAAATGTGGTTCTTCAGTTTCTGTTGGCTAAAACTGTGTTCAATGTAATAAACCTAAATGGTCGGTGTACATATCAGTCGCTACGAAATAGATATTTAAATGACTGTTTGTTACAAAATTCTACCTGAGAGCCAATTTAATTATTTTTCATATTTTGCCAGTTATCATTCCAATCGTTTATCTGACCTAAGGTCAGACAACAGGTAATTCAGGCTCAAAGTGAAACAAAGAAAGTTTGCATTTTTCATCTCAGCAACATCATGATGGCTGGATTATGCTGAAAACGCAAGCAGCTGGGTTGAGATGAATACATCAATAATTCATGATTACTGCTTGGCTGCAAAGCTGCTCACGTGTGCATACTAATTTGGGAGTCACTCTCTCCTTTTGTTGGACTTTTATACCATAAACTGACCTGCTGCAACACAGCGTTTCGGATTTGAATGAACCTTGTCATCTTATGTCCAATCTGAGGCTTACAGAATTTGTGTAAGGTGGTGAAGACATAGACTAATAAACAATGCGTATCAATACTTCTTTTGGCATGAATAAGTGATCAGTGAAAGAGAAATATCTTAATAAAACCGGAACACTGGTCACGAATTTCCGCGCTGTCAACACAAACAATTTAAGAGTGACTGGTATTTCCTTGATACAGTTTATAATACTGCAATTTCATTTGGACGGAAAACACGATCGATAAGCTTAAGTTCAAGTATGAGTTTCAGTGCTTCCTAAGCTGTTTAAAAGCTATCAATTGAAAGCTTCCGTCATCTTTGAGGAGCAGTAAAAGCTGTAGACATTTATTAGTCATATTTTTGACAAAAGTCCGGAAGTTTTGTGTGGAAAAAGAAATGGTATTAAGGATATGAAAGAGTGTCAAATTTTATTCCCTTTTTAGTGAAGTACTATATAATTAATATCGCTGGTATGAAAAAATTAAAATGTGATTATCATAAGTAGTGATATTGTAGGATAATGTTGATTTTACTGACCGAACTCATCGTTATCACGATCATGGTCAACTTCACTGTGGATCTGAAGTAGGTTTGTAATTCTATGCTCAAGATACCTCGCAAAAAATTCTGCTGATCGATTGCAAAATGGT